CAGAAGCGGCCCAGGGCAGGCCAGGCCAGAAACTGCAGAAGCGGATCCCAAGCCGCAGAAGCGGCTCCGCAGATGCGGCCTCGAGACCGCAGAAGCGGTCCCAACTCTTTTGGCCCATTTCGCAGATGCGGTCCATTTCTCGCAGATGCGGGACCGCAGATGCGGAAATCGCTGAGGCAGTGAGGTTCATTTAATACGGGTTCTAAGTCATTTTTATCACTTTTTCACTCCTCCATTGGGCGATTTTAGAGCTTTTGAGAGAAGAACTTCACCTAGCATCTTGAGGTAAGTGTGTTCTATCTATTTCTAGTTTAATAATTATGTCTTAGGTAGATTAAACGCTAGTATTAAGGTGAAATCATGGGGTTAGAGCAAAAACCTAGGGTTTTAATAAAAGTAATATTTAACCACGAAATTTGTTATGAAATAAATTAGAAATCATATATTATTGGTCCTTGGGTTATGAAGAACAACTTCCCTTGAAAAATTTAGGAATCCAGGCACGTGAGCCCGGGGTCGAATCTTAGGAAAACTGTGTTTATGGGTGGGAAATTGCTTAAATAGTTAGAATATGATCTTGTGAGCTTATATTGACTAGTTCCTACCTCTTTTATCTAGTTTGGAATCGTTCGACTCCAATTTGAGGGTTCGGGCTCACTCTTGGTATTGGAAGTGCACATTGGAGCGAGGTGAGTCTCCTTTCTAACCTTGTAAGAGGGAATTGTCCCCATAGGTTGAATAATTGGTTATGTACTCCTATTTGTTGGGGCTACGTACGCACGAGGTGACGAGAGTCCGTGCGTAGCTACTATTATGTGTAAGTCCGGGTAGTCTAGGACCCAAAAGCATGCTATACTTGGAATATCTGTGATCTTATTGACAATTGAATTACTTAAATCCTATCGAATTGGCAAATGAATTTCGAAGAAAATTAAACTTCCTTTTCTTGAATTGTTAAAAGAGAATTGGCTTTTCCTTGGATAAATGTTCCCTGATAAATTCATGATTGACTGATTGTCGTATTTATTTATATTTGACCGCGTCGCATGTATGATTCGCGAGCGGGGTAATAGATGCATCTATGGTTCGGGCCGCTCGACCCTCGGCAGTGCACATTTTAAATATTATTGGATCGGGCCGTACGACCTAGGCATGAGTTGCGCATGCTTGTATTGCTTGCCTTGATATTTGTTGATACTAATATCTGCTCTCCCCGACTTGAGATAATTTTTAATTAATGGATTACGAATCCGGAGACTTTAAATAAAAAGGAACTTTCACCTGTTTAGTGACTCATTTAAATTTTACTGTTGTTCTTAATAAATCCGTGAGTCATCGCATTAATAATATTATTACTAGACCTTTAGTAAGTGTCGAAGTTGCCATCTCGTCTCTACTTCTTCGAGATTAGGCGGGATACTTACTGAGTACACGTTTTTTTTGTACTCATACTACACTTCTGTGCATTTTTGTTGCACAGGCACATGTACTTCTAGTGGCCTACTGGGCGTAGCAGCATGGATGATACTGGGACTAGGTGAGCTGCGTTACTCGAGGCGACCCGCAGCTAGTATAGTCTCTTTCAGTGTATTGTATTTACTTTTTGTCCATTTGTACTCCGTACGGATGTTGTATTGTATTGTTTCTTAGAAATAGCTCGTGCACTTGTGACTCCAGGTTCTGGGGATGTCTATGGGTTTATTCAGAATTTTAAAAGTTGTTAAAGGTTTCATTTTCTTATTCAGTGAAATTTACTATGTATAGCTTAAACGTATAAAAGGAGAGATTTCAGAAATATTTAAAACGAGAATCTAATTAAGTAATTTGGTTGGCTTGCCTGACTGCGGTGTCCGGCGCCATCACGACCCTTAGTGGATTTTGGGTCGTGACAGAAGAGGTACCTATAGAAATTCTCGATAGGCAAGTAAGAAAGTTGAGAACAAAAGATATAGCATCGGTAAAAGTTTTGTGGAGTAATCATGATTTAAAAGAGGCTATGTGGGAGGTCGAGGAAGATATGAGGAAGAAGTATCCTTATTTATTTGAGGAACAAGGTATTTGAAGCTAGGTTTGGCTTAGCATTTATATTTCATTTATTAAATACAAGTTAGCAAGTGTTTATGTCCTTCCTAGATTATAAATAGTTGTTGAAGTAATTTAGATTATGCCAGAGTACATTTAATTCATTAAAGTGATTTACTTTTGCTATAGTGTTATGCTTTAATTTCTTGTTGGTTATTGTGGTACCTCCTTGCCAGAGTGTGAGTAATTAATATATGAGCTGTGTATGGTGCCTTTGAATGGCCTGTTATGGTATATTTGGTTATTGTTGGTGTAGTTGTGGTATTGGTGACAGGGATTTTTTTTGGATAGTCCATTTACAGGGGAGACTTTGCCGAAATTTTTGAAAATTTAGGGAGTTAGCCAAAATTTTGAGTCCCTTGGGAAAGTGAGTAGTGCTGAGAAAACTTAAGAAGTTCAAGGACTTAAGGAATGATTGTTAGCTTAAGAATAAGGTCCTAGCAACATTCGAGGACGAATGTTTTTGAGGAAGGAAGATTGTAACACTCCTCAAATATTAAAAAGTTTCAAGACACGCTAATCATAGAATTTATTTTTTTAATCTTGTCTAGAGTGCAAAAAAAATATACTTAAATAATTGGATATATAATTAAGAGAAAATTAATAATTTTAATATTATTAATTATTAAAAGTGGGTATCATTAATTAATAATTAAGTCAAAACGAAAAAAAAGAGAAAACAAAATAAAAAAGGAGTCATATGACAAGTCTAAAGCCCATAAATGGCTCTTGGCAGGCAAAAGGCATAAAAGCCTTAGCAAAACAGAAGTCGGCATTATGTTTGCTCAAGAAATAGAGGCAGCAAGACTATTTACGCAGACAACAAAAATTTTAGGGTTCTTTACAAATCACTAATTCTTGAACTCAGGTATATAAAATTCTTTATTGTCAATTATCCTAAAGTAGTAGTAGGTAAGAATTGAATAGTTAATTCCCTTCTTTCTCTGTATCAACATTAAATTTCATGTTTAGGTGTGAAACTTTGAAAATTAATAAAAATGCACGGGTTGTTGTAGAATCAATTATTTGGCGGGTATAAATTGGACTGGGGCCTACGTATTGGCTAGAGGAGTTTTGAGGTGAGTTGATATAACCCTATACTAAAGTGGTTTAACTCACAAAAGCACGCATACAAGGTGTTTGATGAATTGCTTAAAAGAGTTAATATTTATTTAATTGGAGTGAGTTTGAAATCAAAACTATTAGATGCTATATATCGAGTTGTTCTTTTGTGATATAAGGATTTTGTAATGAATTTTTATTCATTCTTGAAATTGTAGAATCACATTTGTTTGTATTTGTTGTTTGCGTTATACTTTTCAAGTATCAATTTGATTGTCAGGTTCCTTGATGACAAATATACGATTAAAATGTAAGGTAAAAGTTTATTGAAGTAGAGTAAGAAAGTCTAGCTATATAGCAATACTATTCAAGAATCTAACATTAAATAACATTTTCATGTTGCTTTCCCTTTTGCTTTAAACTTCATGGAGATAGTTGATTGTTCTGCCAAATGTGACTGTCTCATTATATTGTGGAATGTGGCATTTGATCAAACTAAACTTTATGTATACGTAAACATTCAGTAATTGATTATTACTTCTTCCATAGGTTCGATGTTGTTAAATGGATCTTGCAACAAATCAAACTACAAATCGCATGATTAATGTAATAAAAGATTTAGACTTGAAAAGTCACAAGAAGAAGTTTTAGAAAGAAAAGATTTTTGGGAGTATCCTTTATTCTGAGAAGGGGTCATCGTCCAGGCCGAGGGTCCTGACCAAGGCGTTGACTTCCTGAAACTACTTGTGCCAAAGTAGGGAGCACACGAGCCGAGGGCCTCGTTGCTGAGAAAATTACTTAGCCATGCTAAGGTATGATACATGAGCGCTGAGAACCATGAAGCGAGTGGCACCTCGTGGATTGGGCCTATTCGATCAGGTTGGGATCGAACCCGTGCCGATCACACAGTGACTGAGACAGAATTAAGTCAGGATAGTTGGTACTCCCAAAGTATAAAGTGAAGATTTTTTTTAAGAAAGAAAAAGAAAAGAATTTCTTTTAGAATATTCATAAACTGCTATTATGCAATTATTTTAGAATTATTCTTATAAGCTTTATGTTTTACATGCATTTAGAACCTTTGCTCGTAATGTATATGTTATTAAAGTTTCGCCGCTGTTGTTGAGACTCACTGAGTACAATGGATGGTACCGACGTCCTCTTTTGGGAACCTACGTTGGTCTGCGGTACAACGTAGGAACCGGTTTTGCAGGCGAGCAGGCTACAGGTTAGGACTTCCTTCTCTTCCAGTGTTATTGGTGAGCTCCGCTTTTGTTCGTGGAGTATTCCTTTGAGTCACCTTTATTTAGTTATTTCTTTGTTTACTTAGAGAACTGGCCAGGAAATTTCATGTCCTGAACAGTGCGTCAGTTTATCAGTAGAGGCTTCATAGACATAGTTGTTGGGTTAAGATTCAAATGTTTTTTTATAATAACTTAGCAGCAATTCAGTAGTTACTACGAATAAAGTTTTGGAGTTGATTTATTTAAATATTTAAATTAATTAAAAGTATTTGGTTAGAGTATTGCCTTGTTGTGTATAAAGTTTGGAGTTATAATAGATTTGATAAGCAGAGATGGTTCGTTTGGTCATGTTTAGTGATCGAGTGCCGGTCCCGGCTTGTTCAGAAAATGGGTCGTGACAAACTTGGTATCAGAGCCTCAGGTTTATGGAGACCTAGGGGTCTATGAAGCGGTGTTAGTAGAGTCTTGTTTATGTGTATGAAGCACGCCATACTTATAAACAGGAGGCTACAAGCATTTAGGAGAAGTCTCTTTTTTTATACTTTAGATCGTGCAGTAGAGTCTACCTCTAAGAAATTATCTTATTTATTCGTTTCTCCAAAACTCGCAGAAATGGCTCGTACTCGCAACTCTGACACCGACACTCAGGATGCTGCTCAAGAAACTATCGCTACTATTGTGGCTCAAGGTAGAACTAAGAAGGCTTCGACTCAAAAAAGGAGGGGAAAATCCACAAAGGGAGTCCAAGTACCCCTGGTTGAACAAGAAGAAGGGGTGGAGCATGATGATCCAGTACCTCAGGATCTAGTACCGCCCCCAACAGCAGCTCCGGCTCAGGCAACTATATCTCTGGAGGTGGGTCAGATGTTTAATGCTGTCAACAGTGCTATGGAGATGTTTAAAGTCTTTATGGCAAACCAGAACGAGAGAAGAGATGAGATTCCACCTCAATCAAATAGACAGAACAATTCTGAGTCCTCAAGAGTGAATGAATTTTTGAAGTTGAGTCCTCCAGTGTTCCATGGTTCTATAGTTGATGAAGATCCGATGTTGTGGCTGGAGGGTGTCAAGAAAGCCCTCCGAGTGATGAAATCATTTGATGATGAAGCTGTGGAGCTAGCTGCTTACCAGCTTAGAGATGTGGCCGGCGCTTGGTTTGAGATGTGGGTAAAGGAAAGAGATGAAGATGATGGTCCGCGTACTTGGGAAGAATTTGAAGAGGCCTTCATAGCTAACTTTATCCCAGAAGAGGATAGGGAAGCTAAGGCTACAGAGTTCGAACAGCTCAAGCAAGGGAATAAAAGTGTGCAAGAGTACTACATGGAATTCATAAGGTTAGCTAAGCATGCTCCTCACATGGTTAAGACAGAAAAAGCAAAGATTCGCAGGTTTGTTGGCGGTCTAGCTTACCACATTAAGGATACAACATCAGCTGCAGCAGTAGGGATGACAGCCTTCTCCTCTGTTGTGGGATTTGCCAAGCACTTAGAAAAAGACAGACAACTAAGGAGAGAAGAAAAAGAGCATAACAAGAAATCCCGGACAACGGGCAGGTTTAATGGTACATCCAGTGGAGGTGGAAGGGATTCCTCTAATAAGGAGTCATTAGCACCATCTCAATCCAGTCATCAGTCTGGTGGTGGGTCTTCCTTCAGACGTACTCAGAGTTATGGAAATCAGTCTCGCCAGAATCAGAATTTTAGGACATTATCCTCACATAGCCAGAGTCATGCTGAGCAACATTCACACCAACAAGGTCTTTGTGGAACATGTAAGCGGCAACATTCAGGTCAGTGCAAGCTCGGGTTTCATAGTTGCTATCATTGTGGAGACATTGGTCATATAAAGGCCAACTGCCCAAAGTTGCGACGTAATTTCAGTGGTGGATCAACTCGCCCTTCTAGTTCCTCAGCTACTGCAGTTGCACCACCTCAGGCTCGTGGTTCTCATAATCAGACCGGGCATGGGGCAGGCAGAGGTGCAGATCGAGTTACTCAGGGAGGGGGACAACCTCGTTTGTTTGCTACACTTGATCGTCAGAGTG